CTCATTGGGAAGTATTGGAGTTTATTTTTGGCGTTTTCAAGAAACTAATCGTATAAGTCAATTATTTGAACAAACAAATGGTTATGTTTATATCAATTTACAACTTGCAGTTTATGTTAATGATATTTTAACATTTCTTCTTGGTTATTGTTGTTTTTTTAGTATGATTAAATTTGTTCAATTATTTCGTTTTAATCAACGAATATCTTTATTTGCTGAAACATTAAAATATTGTGCAAAAGAACTGATTTCATTTTCAATAATGTTTGGAATTGTATTTATGGCATATCTTTGTTTATTTTATTTATTATTTGTATCTAAGCTTTCGTCGTGTTCAAGTTTATTATCAACTGCTCAAATGCTTTTTGAAATGACATTAATGAAATTTGATGCATCACAAATAATGAGAGCTGATGCTTTTCTTGGTCCATTTTGTTTTACATTATTTATGTTTCTAGTTGTTTTTGTTTGTTTAAGTATGTTTGTTTCAATAATTAGTGACAGTTTTCGTCATGCGAAAGACAATCAAAAAGATGATCAAACTATGTTATCATTTATGCTAAAGAAATTTTTACGATGGACAGGTACGTAGATTCATGATCTATCTAGATGAATTAGGCTCCCATTGGTATCTTATAGCAGATTCAGTAAAATCTCAAGATTGAAATTTAGACCTCTTCAAATTAGATGACTTCAGAGCCTCTTTTGAGGATGTGGATGTGAGTTTGATAAAAGAGAAGACTTGTACACCCACTCTCAAGATTGGTATATCTCAGTAGCACATAGTCTTCTATTAATATTTTAGGTCTGAAAAGATTAAGTCAAGAAGAAATTCAAGAAGAACGAGATTGCCGAATGCGTTCGCAATATTTTGATCCAATTAAAAATTTTCCTGATAGAATTGATCAATTACTAGAAGCACTCAATAAAGTATGTGAATACCTATGGTTCTTTTACTTGAAATTATTTTCTGTTTTTTTAGATTTATATTGATCAACAAATCGAATCATCAAGACTAGATAAAGCTGGACTGTAAATATTATGTTTGAAAAATGATTAATATTCATATAATGAACTCAAAATATATTTTTAATTCTTTTTTTCGAAAGAAATCTTTAAAATTGATTATATATTTGATATCTTTGAAATAGAATTGTACAGTTTTTAGAGTGGATGCGGGTAAGAGTAGATGAGTTATGAGATAATAAACGCCCACACCCACACCCAAATTAAATAACGCACATTCAAATCAAAAATTAATTTTCCTTTTTAAACAGATAGTTTGGTTTGAAGGGTGTGTGTGGGTGAGTTTGGATGCGAGAACAAATGTGAGTGAATGTATTCAACGGGGATGCGAATAGGAAACGACTAATACCCACAACCGGAATAGGTTAGTATATATAAACTCCAACGACATGATTTAGATCAGGCTTCAACTATTACATCCATAACAAAAGTAATGATCAGGTAATTTCTCACCATCTAATAAAGTTCTCAATTATCAGCTCTATATTTTCATTACATAATTATCTATCACATGAAAAATAATATAGGATTGTTTTCAGTTCTATTATAAAGCTTAACGATCAAATATAAGTTTAGTTAATATTGTTATTTTATCGTAGAGTAATAAAATAAAATAGTTAATAGACGCTTCTTTTTAGGAATCAAAATAAATAAACGAGTTTTAATCTATCTCTTGGTAAAATATTTCAAAAATAATAAGTGACTTTTTACATTTTTTTTGATATTAATCAACAACATTTATACAATTTACTTTAACAAAACATGTGAGTCATATATTTATATTCTTTCATCGATAGATGTTGTCTTCTTACAATGAACAAGCAAAAGAGCGATGTAATATATTGTTAGTATTTTCAATTTGAAATATTGCTAATCTTCTAACAAAATCATAGGAAATAATATTGATCAGATGTGGATAAGACAGTTAGATGAATATGTGTATTGATATTATCTCACACACCCACACACCCATCCTGTTGAATTAAAAAATATTTCTGTTCGGAACTTTTTTCTTCTTATCTCAGTATGACCTCTATAATATCTTTTCTCTTAATTATATCATATTTATATTATTATGAAGTTGTTGAGAAAATAGAAAAATAATGCCTTCTTCATTTTGTCTATGTTTAATTTATTTATCAGAGTAATAATACTCGATTCTATATGAGTTGTATGCACGATTTGATGCAGATCTATATTGTATTAATTGTATAAATAAATACTACTATGCATTTCAAAATATAATGTACTCGGTTGTTTCTTGAATAACTACTAAACGAAACAAGATAGAGAGCTTCGGTTTTCACTGTTCGAAAGAGAAATGTTGGGTCTATCGAAATATGTAAGAGCGAACTTTTTTCAAAAACCTTAGTAGGGTTTTCTAGAGATCCAGATTTCTAAAAAACAGGGCCTTCGAGATTTTCCATTACATTTTTAATTCTGATGATGCCAATAGATAGCCCAGCCTTTTCTCTATCGAATGAGACCAACTCGACCTTTTTCTGACCTTCTGATGAGAATCTAGAGCTTACGCACTAGGAGCCGTGTGAGCCTTGGTTTTTGACTTGTTTTAGCAGATTTTTGTACTTTTTTTGTGATTCAATCGGTTTTTGATAAAAAAGAATGATATATTTGAAATCAGGACGCAAAACTGAGTCGATCTATATACTTCTTAATATCCTAAGAATATTTTCATTTTTTTTCAAAATTTTACCTGAGGTACCCCTCAGTGGTACATTGATGTTTAATTATATTCATTTTTGGATCGATCCCTGAGGGGTACCTCAGGTAAAATTTTAGAGGAAAATGAAAATGCTCTAATGATATTGAAAAGTATATAGATCGACTCAATTTTTTGTCCTGATTTCAAATATATCATTCGTTTTCATCAAAATCCAAAGGAATCGCATAAAAACCATTAAAAACTACTAAAATACGTTAAAAACCAAGGGCCACATAGCTCCTGGTGCGTAAGGTCTAGCTTCTCATCAGAAGGTCCAAAAAAAGGTCGGGTTGGTCTCATTGGATAGAGAAAAGGCTAGGCTATCTGATGGTATCATCAGAATAAAAAGTGTAATACAAAATTTTTGAATACCGGTTTTCTAGAAATCTGGATCTCTAGAAAACCCTACTAAGGTTTTTGAAAAAAGTTCGCTCTTACATATTTCGATAGACCCAACATTTCTCTTTCGAACAGTGAAAACCGCAGCTCTCTATCTTGTTTCGTTTAGTAGTTATTCAAGAAACAACCGAGTACATTATATTTTGAAACCGATATTAGTTGTTTAGTATAACATCTAAGATATTATAATCAATGAGATTTCTATTCTATAAGACCTTCGATCAATTATCTTAGTATTTTGATCATAAGATATTGTGTTTTTTAACTTCGAATGAATACGTATGTAAAGAAAAATTGTGATTTATGGTATTGGTATTGACTCTATTTTTAAGTGACACTTCAGGTTTACGATTAGAATTGTTATTATTCAATAATCTCTTTTTTTTCTATTAGAATAACAATAGATATCATCAAAATACTCTCAAATTGATACTGATTTGAACTAAAAAGATAAACAAACATTTATGAATGTCAATTGATATATAATAGGACAAATTAAAATTTTAATTTCCTCTATAGGTGAATTAAAAATTTCCCTGATACTTTAATTTCCCCTGTAACAGATATGAAATTCTTGACTGAGTATTGTATTGTCGATAAATATTAGAATTACTATGTTCATGTATAACATATTCTCTAGTAGACAATCCATTATGATTAGAATCTGAAGAAGAAAAAAGAAATGTCTATTTATCAGAAATAATCATTTATCTTGGTGTTGTGTATGTAATAATTAAAGTTTGAAAGAATATTTTTCTTATCATTATTATTTTATTCATATGCAATTCTGTTTTTATGAAACAACGTACTTTCTATTATTGTGATTATAACAACTATAAATGATATTACCAGTTCTCCGTTTCTATCGTTTCTTTTGCTGCATACATAAAACATCATAGCAACATACAAATGAAAGAAACATAAAGGAAACATTTACTGAATGAATATTTTTCATTGAGAAACAAGTATGTTAGAATGTGTTGTTATGATAAACAACTATTTAAATTACCGTGGAATACCAAAAAGACTGTTTGTATCGATTTATATAATAATAAATATGACGTTAACACGATTTTACATAAATATGAATTTCAATTGTTTGAAGCATTTTCATATGGATGAAGAAAAATATGATTATGTATTGAATTACAAATTATAATCAATCAACAATGGAACAAAAAGAAAAAGCGAGATTTTCGAAATGTTGTTATACTTTGTGTTATAAGCATTCGACAAACGTAATTCGAGTGTGTTTGATATTGAAGAAGTGTTTAGTTCTCTTGTCTAATCAAACAACTCATCTGATTATTGATCATCTACATATTAAAGATTGACTTTATTCTATATGAATGATGTGACAGTTCACTGATATTTTGTATAGTGTATGAGATACATTCGAAGTATTCAGATTTGGATATATAAATAAATTTCAACTGAATTTGTTTTTTGATTTCTCTAGGAAATTTCATCTCTAACTAAATGTTGTTTATATTATCATTTGAAAATTCAATTTTGTTGAATCGATCATTCTTCATATAACACAAAAGGTCTATTTATAAACATATTTGTCCTCAAACAACATTTAAACACGTAGGAAAATTATCTTTCCAAATGAATAAATTTTGTTTGAAAATAAAAAAAGCCCTGACTTCTTTTTTGATTAAATCGATGAGATGAATCCAGAAAAAAAGTCCTGACTACTTTTCTTGATTAAATTGATGAATAAATTCTGAGAAAAACCATGCACTACCCACTCAAAAAAGAGAGAAAAAAAAAGAATTCATTGCTCAATAAATACTCTGTCTTCTATTGTGAACTGAATTCATTTCAACAACTTAGAATCTGGTAATTGATGGCTTCAAGAAGATTTTGTTTATGGCTTTTATTTATGATTATCACACATTCAATCGGAGAAGATATTCGATCAGTGCATATGTCTCTAATACCTGGCTCTAAATTTCAATGTGCCAATACAACATGTTTAGCATTTATTAATGTTATTACATCAAACATTAAGAACTGTCAAGTAGCCTGTTTAACTCAACGTCAATGCAGGGCAGCAACTTTTCATCGATCAACTTCTAGTTGTGAATTATTTGGTGATATGTTGAATCAAGATGGAAATATGTTGGCTGATGTGGATGCTACTAGTATGGATGTTATTAGTGAAACACGATTTCCATCGGGTCAGTATAAACATACAGGAGATTCAGAAGAGAATATATCTATGGGAGAGAAAAAGTTATTTGCTACTTGGAAAATAATTTCAAGGTATCAAGAACTAAGAGAACTTGACAGCGCTATTGAACATATTTGTGTGTAAATGACGGATTGATTATTATAGTAGTGATAAAAGTAAAGTAAACATGGTAGAATTCTAATTATAATGGAAATCACTTGAATATTTCCTATTTTATTATAATCAACTGATATTTAATGACAATACGTTGTTATAGTAAAAGAAACAAATCTTATCCAATCGTTTAGTCTGATTCTAAAATGATTTTTTGAAAATAGAACCGACTACGACATCAACATCCACAACAACAACAACATCCTCTACAACATCAATAACAACTTCAACAACATCCTCTACAACATCAATAACAACTTCAACAACATCCTCTACAACATCAATAACAACTTCAACAACATCCTCTACAACATCAATAACAACTTCAACAACATCATCGACATCATCAACATCATCAACAACAGCAACAACTACAACATCCACTACAACATCAACAACAACTTCAGCAACCTCTACTACATCATCAACAACAACATCAACAACCACATCCACAACATCATCATCAACATCAACATCAACATCAACATCAACATCAACAACAACATCAACCACAAAATCAACCACAACATCCTCTACAACATCAACAACAACATCAACCACAAAATCAACCACAACATCAACTACAACATCAACAACAACTTCAACAACAACCACAACATCCACAACGTCATCATCAACATCATCAACAACAGCAACAACAGCAATACAGCGTTAGTACTATGTTAAATGATTTGTAGTTGCTCAAATGATAATCACTAGAAATAAGAATATCTAAAAGTTTTCATTTTACCTATGGAATGATCGCCATTTAGATAGACAACATTAGGAAACATTTCTTACCAAAAGTCGAAATACGGCTAATTTTTGATGACTTGATCTGATCTAGACTCATTTAAGTATTGAATATTCTACTCCTGTCAAACAGTATTAGACGAAAATATTGTCGATAGAAAAGATTTTTATGCGATAGAAATCATTCATCATTTTAGTAATCACTTGCACCTACCTACTCTCAAGTTGTTCGGCTAATACTTCTACACGCTGAATTATTATATAACATAATATTGACATGAGACATGTCGATCAACATCTAATCTCATGTTTTAGTTCGCACTGGTATAAACTTGAGTAATTCAAAAAAATATTGTAAAAGTATAAAATGAAAACTTCAAACTCGCAAAAAATGCCTTTCATCATCATCATCAATCAATCCCTCAGTGTACTGATTTTCTCATGAGAACGATGCGAGAATCATATTCTCTTATTATCAGTCCCAGCCTCATTGACATTCATTCTTACTTACACCATCTATCTAAGATGGTAAAAGTACATCTTGTTTCCACTATGTTGAACAATGTAGAATGACTTGCATTCAAATTCTGAAATACGATCATTATTCATCATAACTGAATTGTAGGACAGTGTCAGAGTTTCTTCAATTCGCGACATCGAGAGAACTCGAAAAATATTAATGGAGTCGTTTATAACATATTTTGCAGTAGTTTAGTCTAACAGTTGATTATGAATCTTATCTTAATCATAAAAACAAAGAGAAGTTTATTGAAGGTTTGAAATCATCTAACCTGTCATTAGTTGGTAGACAACTTAGGCCCCTAAGAGACTGAAAGTCATTTTTAGAACAACAGTTTTTTCTCACTTTTTTGCCTTATCTAGAATGGGCAATCGCAGGAAATATGAGTACTACACGAAATCTTCACGCAGCATCCACATTAGCAAATGGATCAATATTAGCTGCTGGTGGAATTGACGTTGGTAGTACTACACTCACTAGTTCAGAATTGTACAATCCATCAACAGGCAATTGGACAACGACAGGAAGCATGAATGCCGCACGATATGCTCACATAGCATTCACATTAGCAAATGGAAAAGTATTAGTTGCTGGTGGATATTATGGCGGTGGTGGTACTAGTCTTAATAGTGCTGAATTGTACAATCCATCAACAGGTACTTGGACAAACACAGGAAGCATGAATACCGCACGATTTCTTCACGCAGCATCCATATTAACAAACGGGTCAGTATTAGTTGCTGGTGGATTCACCGGTACTAGTTATCTCAATGGTGCTGAATTGTACAATCCATCGACAAACGCTTGGACAACTGCAGGAATCATGAGTACCTTCAGATATTATCACACAGCATCCACTTTAGCAAATGGATCCGTATTAGTTACTGGTGGAGCTAGCGGCAGTGGTTATCTCAATAGTGCTGAATTGTACAATCCATCAACAAACGCTTGGACAACTACAGGCAACATGAATGCTGCACGACAACATCACACAGCAACCACATTAGCAAATGGATTAGTATTAGTTACTGGTGGAAACAGTGATAGTAATTGTATTAATAGTACTGAATTGTACAATCCATCAACAGGCACTTGGACAACCGCAGGGAACATGAGTGCCGCACGATGTTATCACACAGCATCCAAATTAGCAAATGGATTGGTATTAGTTACTGGTGGATACAGCGGTACTAGTTATGTCAACAATGCTGAATTGTACAATCCATCAACAGGCACTTGGACAACCACAGGGAACATGAGTGTCGCACGAATGAATCACAGAGCATCCACATTAACAAATGGAAAAGTATTAGTTACTGGTGGAACTGATAACGGTGGTATTTGTCTCAGTAGCGCTGAGATTTATCAATCGATATAGACAGAATGACATTTTCTTTTGTGAACTGAATCAGAATTTTTTTATATGTAATCAAACTATTTAATCATGCACATTTCTCAATAAATAATCATTCACCAAATAATATATGAGTCACATTAATATTTTGAAGTTATATTGTATGATGGTTATTGAAAAAGTGCCATAGTTGATAAAAGACAGATCATTATTTGTACAACTGAATGAATAGTTTCATCGAAGGACAGTGGATGTATATAGAGATGGATGTGGTTGTTCTCTCTTTATCCTCACCCACACCCTCAAGAATGGACATAGAAATGCGTCTCTCTATTTTGAAATATTAATTTAATTCTATTAGACAATGAAATTAGTGAAAATTCTGTATATTTCTTATAATTAAAAAAGAGAATTCGATAGAGAATGATATCGAAATCTCCACTTATTCATTTTAATTTTTGTGAATAAATCAAAAATAATTAATTAAAAAAAATGAAATGATCTAATGCTTTGTCAATATTCTGTATAACTGAAGATTCATTTCGCAGAAATTTCTTAGTATACGTCATCGTATCTTAAGTTTACCATTTCATGTGAAACCTCTAATTGTTGTTGAAGATGGAGATTGTGGATTAACTGTATGGTTCTAATTTTGTTATAATAAATAAATACTCACTACATAAATGAGACAAAAGTAACTTATTGAAGAGCATATATAGATATAAAATGAAGAGAAAATAAAAAATGACTACTTTTATTTTTTTTATTACATTCTCTTAAAGA